AATGCACTTTCCTTTACAGTTGCAACGGCAAAGATGGACGCCAAGCAACTGAAAGCAGTTCACGTATTGCAAAGTCCAGAAATGCTTGTTGAATCTGCGACATTTGTGGCTTCAGAAAGGGCTTTCTATTCGTCTGCAACCCCGTGTTTACAAGGTCAGAGTGAGCGCCATCTCATTCTTAGGGAGCGAGACTTGATCCCTTCAATCCGATGATCTGTGGCGTCTTCTACTCTTTGCTCATCTTTGTCTGTGAAGCACTGCTGATGTCAAGTGGCACCAGCGTGTCCGCAACGATGATGTGTGTAGGCGAGTGCTAAGCAGTGATAACCAGGCTAATTCATTAGAACAACATATAGAACTGAATGAGTTGCGTTGGCTTGGGCACGTACTATGTATGCCTGGTCACCGCTTACCGAGGAGGGCCTTGTTTGTTTGCTAGATGTATGGTGGCACAAGGACCTAGGTGGGCAAAATTGAACTTGACAGCGGGAAATAAATGCACTAATGACCAAACTCGGTGCAGTTGGCCCGTCTCGCCCTCAGGCTGGAGTCCACATTACTCGCCTTTTGCTTGGATCGAAACTTTACAGGACATGGCTCGCAATCGACACTATTGGCGCGTCTGCTACCGCATCTCCTAGTTAGATTGCCTGTTTAATTTGTGTTTGGTGCTGAGTTAATATCTGATTTTGACGAAATGCTGTGAAAGCCGCAAGGAAGCTGTCTGGCTTATGTCACCAGCTGTTTGTGACGTTAACTTGTTAACACAAGGTGAAGGCGCCCTAATCCTGAAGGTTTGTTTGGGACATTAAGCTTTTCCGGTATGTCCCCCCTTCTCTCTTTCTTATTATTCTTGTGGTTGTATGGCAGCGAAGCGTCAATTCAAATGTTTGATGTACTGCTGTTGATGATGACGTGAATAAACAATGTGAAGTGTTTCGATGTTGCTCTCACCCCTAATTGCACTCCGAAATCCAAAGTTAAACCAAAGTGCTTTTCTGTAAATCTCAATCAGATTGAAATCCTTAAAACCTGGAGACCGCCAGACGGTCGGTTCCTTCTAATGTTGTATATGTGTGTCCCCATTCAGCATGTGTGTGGGTGAAACTCTGTCTGTGATACAGCTGCAATGTATCTCCTGTCACCTAAAAATCACTCCAAATACACTTACACAGATACAAAACCTAAGTAGGTAGCTAAATGCCTTTTAGAATGGTTTATTAAGTGAATTTTAGCTAAAAGTGATACAGTAGAGGCATTAAGTTCTTACATTTGTTCTAGGTCGCGTACTATCCAAAAAGTCATATATATTTGTATACTATTGGAATTGTAGAAACATGGATTGCTGATCTAAGCAAAGAGTGAGTGGAGTCTAGTCCTTCTGAAATTGTGTTTTTGATTTTGGTACTCTAGCTAATCGCCCCTGATAACCAGTCTTACTCCGCAGCGAGTTGACTTATAAGGCGAACTGGGAGCAATTCTGCAATCTCCTTTCAATATAGTTAAGGACGTGTATTCCGGAAAGGTACGATGTTCAATCTGAAGTAAACTGAAAGCGATTACTACCTTGGGTAGTGTCACACATCCTTAATGTTATGTTGTAGGTAGTCTCATTTAACTCTGGCTGTTGTTGATTCCATCTTAGGAACTATCCAATAGATGTTTTGGGATACGGCCTTGCCTATCGATATAAATTCGATCTGTGAAATAGCCAGTTTGCACACGGTATGAGCCTCCTTTATCAGCTGCAGATTCCTATGGGCTTGATTAAGCCTTTTGTAAAATAACGTGGTAGTGCATCATGCAGTCTGATAGCAATACGAAGCAGCTCCCAAAGTATAATATTTTTTAAATTATCTACAACTGTACTACCCCAATCGGTACAATGTTCGTTCTTGTTTTGTTGCTTCTCAACCTGTGGCCATTTTTGTCTACATCAGGTTCCTCAATTTTCTGGTCAATGAGTTACGAAGTTCTAGTTTGCTCCCGGTGGCCTCATTCTACTGTATTTCTTTATAACCCAGCTAGAATCCAGTCTTAATGCTCGAAACTCCTACCTTCTGGTATCCGTGCCCATTTACGGGCCACGTCATTAACTAGAACATACTGGTCCTATAACAGCAATTAAGGCAACACTCTCAAAGATCTGAAAGAATATTGAGAAATGCTCATGTTACCCAGTATTTGATATGCCTTGTAGAACTGAAAAGTAGTAGCCTACGGTTGAACGCTGATAGCAGAAAACAGGGGACTTTGGAAATAGTGGATTGTATTTGAGAAGGTTACAATAATATGTAGACGGAGGAAACGGAAAGGAGAGAGCCTCAGCGCAGTAACTCAACGAGTATATGAATGCCATGGAAGGATGAAGGCAGCAAAACATGAATAAGAACCTACAATCACATTGTGGTATAAATGCATATGAAAGAGAATTAGGAACTGTGCATCCTCACCGACTGAGAGTGACAGTACTGATTATTTGTAAGCATACAAGTATCCCCATCTTAAATGGTAGCTGCATTCTACTTTACCATTTTAACACGATGTATACTTTCCTTACGCATCCGTTCACAAAGTCTAACATAATCATCCACCAGATATATTCATTGATTTTGTAAACAAAACGGAAATTTGATTAGAGTTACCAGATACGGGCGTTGATGTCCAACTGTAAAACAATAAAATGAATGTATGTGTACAGGTAATACCTATTGCCTTTTCATTTTGATCAGGCAGTGAGTAAAAGAACAGTCAATTCGTTTCAACCACTTTTTATTATTATTATCTGTCTCTTTCATCCATGGTGAAATAACCCTATCATGGATGTGAGAGTGTGGCAGCCTAAGACCCGAAGGAAATGACAATTCCGTCATAACACACACCAGCAGCTGAATCACATTTTGTACCCAGAATCTGTGCAGTAAAGTGGAGGTGAATAAAAAGTTTCATGCTACCCAATATCCATCTGCTTCATCAGTTTCGGTCGCAGTGCTCGTACTGACCAAGGTCCGCTTTGATGGGAATCACGGCCCACCTTGAGAGTGCGCGTTGCAACCCACTCACAAAACGAGTGTTTCAAAGAGTGACCGCTCCAATTAGCTTCGTGCAACCGTTTCCGGAACTTTAGTTTAAGTTCCATACTGCTCTTTCGTAATGTAATGCACTAGTGCTGATGAGCAATAGATTACTTTGCCAAGTAGCTGTTCTATGAGTTAAGTTCTTGAGATGCTAACAGAAGGACTTGAATGTACTACAAATCGAAATGTAGACGAGGTCTGTCTCACCGACTGGAACATCTTTCAGCTATCAGTGGAAGACATGTTTTCGAATTCAATAAACTCGCCGTATTCACTAATCTACGTTGTGAATGCATGATACAGGCCAAAATCACTATTGAAGATTGGCTGCCGTAGGTTATCACCGCTTGAATTTCCGGTTGAAATTTGTTTGCAAATTTGTATTGTCCGGGCCTCCGATTGCATTAGATTAGTAAGGGATTGATAGATAACAACCAACAAAATACACACTAGTTAAAAATTGTCAAATCTTGTCAACCTAATGATGAACTATACGTAGGGGTGGAATTCCCTTATTAAATCTGCTCCTCCAGCATGTCTACTCGCACCCTCTGTTAGCTAAATCCATGCGTAACGGTTATCGAGAATGAAACTGAGCAAACAGATGCGAATTGTTTGCACCTATCAGCTTTCATCTTCTTACCGTGCGGTTCAAATTGTTAAAAGCAAATGACTGCTCTAAACCATGCTTTCGCCATTTCCTCTTACATCCTTGTGAATTTGAAGGTAAAAAACGTTTCGCTGCCTAGTTGAATAAGTTAATCTACAGTTATATAGATCAGCCTAAAAGTAGGACCAAAGTACTGTAGCAACGGTTGAATACATCTGGAAAGCTCAGTACATTAGTCATGGAAATCCAGGAAGGATTGCGAGCAGGTGACCATTCATCACATTCGGATTTAACTAATGTTTATCTCTTATCTTCTCGCCACGTTCACATATTTAATTTGTAGACAATTCGGAATTTATCTTGTGGGCATATCAGTTAGTTTGCATTTTCTAACACACTAACTCTAGGTAACGATATATTTTTTTTGTTCAACGGTAGTATAGATCACATATTTCCTATACAACGGTACTTTGAATAAAGTCTTGCTTCCAGTTTAGCTAAAATTGGTCTAACACTTTGCAATATTAGACTGAAAAACATGGGAGTCGAGCCAATTAAATTTCCCTCGCCTAATGTTGGAAAGTTAATTTCATAAATAATCTTGCCACCAAATATGACTGGACTATGCAAACTTAATCCAACAACTGTACTTTCACAGGTAGTGCAGCATGTGCAGACATACCACGTTAGTTGATGGCGTTCAGCATTCAGGATGCGACTATTTATAATAAGATTAAAACACCTTAATCTTTCGGCACCAGCTTCGGTTATCACTACGGCATAACTTTGCAAAAAGCTACTTTACCTCTGTTGGCAACCCTCTTTCCGTCGCGGCGAACATCAATATTGAAAAATAATTCTCCAGCTGCAACACTGTAGGCATCTCGTTAGCCACAACAGCATTGCGTGCAATGCACAACACAGCAACCGAGATGCTGACAGTGATTGTCTCCATATAACTCAAAAACCTAGTTTGCACGCAAAAGCTGACCACAAAAGTTGCGTGACATCAATAAATTCATATTTCGAGGAGTACCTTGCGAATGAGTTAAGCTTCGAAGTGACTTCCGGTATTGAGAGCACTGGTCCTGCCTTTTATAATAATGATATTGTTGAGTATCTGTCCGGATAAATAAGGCAAGGTTCATTTTTATGTTGTGCATTAAGAGCGCAGTTGTAGTGCAACTAAACGCTGATGCACAGTCGAAATTGGAGATTGGAAGATATGACTGTTTGTGCTGACCAATCAGGTGTAAATTTGCATTTGTGACCATATAAATACTGAATGTTGAGTGCAGAAGATGACGCTTAGCTTAAGTATGCGTCTTCCCTTTATTGTTCTTATCCTGATTTATATATGCACTGGAGAGTTGCTGGAAGCCGTGTTTGATGAGGAGCCAGTTCCACTCCCAGTACATGTCTTTGAGGAAGTGGATATCAACGATTTACCTAGAACTCTTAAGGCTCTCAAGAAGGCCTTAACGTATATTCATGACAACATTGAGGCGGTAAATTTGGACGGCCTCATAGGTCCACGAATGGCGGAGAGTGAGTTACCAACTTTGCGTTTTTTACTTGTCTATCCTTGTGGTGCGAACTTATATACAAAACAAATTTATTCGTCGTACTGACGAATCTATGACAGCGGGCTGCCCTGTTATGATACTAGTGGATCTATCCCCAGTATGTGGAAGATATTCGATGAAAACGACTTTACTGAGTACATGTTTGGCATTGATCAATAATATTCCGTCCCCAAACACGCAGGAAGTGCATCAGGATCATTTAGCATACTTCTCCTCGCTGAATAGTTTTAGTTTACTGCCGAAAGTTAGCTATTATTCCATCCTAGTAAACAGGTCACGGGACACTTACAACTTTCCAAATGTCGCTCACTTACGTTGGCATTGTGCTTTGTGAATTTGAATTTTTGCTTGTTACATTGTTTCTGATCATTTTTTGGAATTTCCTCATGCAGTAGAACCAGTGCACTGGAACGAACTTGTTAACATCTGAGCTTGTGAACACTTTGCAATAAAGCAATTATGCGAAGCGAGCAATCACCGAAATTGTGGCAAAACCACCTTTTTGTATCTGTGTCTGCCAGTTTCGTGGAAGGGTGAAGGCATTGTGCCCGGGTCAGAACTACTACGGTCAGCCTCCGTCCAATACACTATGATTCCTAACAGTCCGGACCGAATAGTATGGCAACTAGGGGTGACATAAATTGTGGACGAAATCTGTTTCACTGCACTCAGAAGACAACATAAACAGGCAGCCACGGACGAAACGTTTTAGGTTGCAACCATGTAAACCAGGCTTGACTATCTTCCCCAAGTAGGGCAGTATGGTACAAAAATTGTCCACCAACGCACGTGATGTGCCATAGCCGGGAATTTACTGTGTCGGGGGCTTGAGATTCAGAGGCTCAATGTGATCGGGTAGCCTCAGGAGTAAATGAAAGGCTTGTCTGGAATTTAGCACAGATGCTTACTGCATCTGAGCTGAGGTACAGTACTGGATCTTTAGTGGAGTACCCCTGTAACACGTGACTGTCTGAGTGCTGGGCTTCTCTGAGTGCTACTGAGGATGCGTTCGTCTCGAATACGTGAAACTAACTCCGGAAAATTTGCTGTTCAACTACTGTGTGTGAATTCAGTGCCTATTTGATTTCTACATTCTGTACTCTGGTTACATCTGGATTCAACAATAACTAATCTTGCCTACAGTTCTTTGTCTCCTACCACTGACGGATGCTCGGTAGCTAGGCGCTGTTAGTGCGATCCACTAAGAATAATGAGTCAATTTTAGCATTAGATATAGGTAGCCGGTGGGTGATCAAAACATTATGCCCTTAAACATCACGTCAACTAACGCAGTGAGTAAGGCCTATTGTTGCCTATATCGCATAAATGACTGGGAAATATTCACATAACAGCCGTGATGGCATTCTTTGGATACAAAGTGACATGCATGCGTCACGGGAATAGCAGCCGAAGCGTTCCGTGAGGATGTAATTGCATGTGTATGCAGCATTTGCCGTGTATTTCGACAAACAAGCCACAAACATTAAATCTAACAGCATTACTTTCGACAGCATGACATTACTTTTGCTCTGATTAACAAAGTTTACTATGCAGCCATGCCTTCGACCCTCCTGTGCTGTTGCGAAGCTTGGTCCAATAATTCCGTAGGCATAAAGAGGCTAGTTTCCTTCGACCATGCCTGCCTGCGCTTATGAGCTCATGCCTGGTGGAATTACTGCGTGGGCAATGAATTTGTTCGGCGTCGCGTATTTGGTGCACGAATAACGAGCGTACCGTTCAGCACCATTATATCATGCGGCAGGCTCCGGCGGTGTTGCGCATTCCAGCCAACAGACTCTCTCGACGTGCGCTATTTGAGCACTAGAAGGGTGGATATACGAAGAGGTGGAGATCAACTGATGACTTGGTTGAGAGGAGTGAAGTCTCATATCGAAAATAGCGTTGGTCGGTCTTTTACGACTGCGCTGCTGGGAAAGGAAGTACGATGAACACGTTCAGTTGGTCAGACGTGGTGATATGCGGAAGAACCGGTCCCAATAGCAATTGTGTAGTGGGTTACTTTGCCCAACATCATCCTCTTTAGCTTCCCTCAACACCAACAATCCAAAATGTGCTCTTAGCGTTATGTTACGCAGTTATAGCTTTTAGGCCTATGTTGCTTAATGCGTTAACTTTTGTATTGCGGCATGTTAGCTGATGCGTGCTTCTCATCCTTCGTCTACGTGTATTGACCAGTATGATGAGGTTTATGTACCTTTGGTTGTCAAATCCTCGGATAGATGGTTAACTGGACTGTCCCTATTGGGAAAATACCTCTATAGCCAAATAAAGCCTGCAAAGTAGGATGAACACGCAGAGTATGAAAACATTATAGAACAACCAAATTCCGCGGTAACTGGCTCGACATTTGCAGAAGGCTTTCTTCCGACATGAGACAGTGGCTGACCCACCCCATGAGTTTGGAACCTTCTCCTCAGTCCAAACCTTCGTGAACAGCGTAGGATTTCGCTGCCAAGTACGTTTCCGCTATATTTGAATATATCCTTGGGAAGGTTGTCAGTGCCGCGAGTTTAATGACTCTTCAAAGATTGTATAGCTGCTCGGATCTGTGCTTCGTCAGGAGGATATGTGGGAATGGGCCAAGTAGAATGCAAGGGAAAGAGTGGAAACACAGAGGGCTGCGCTGGATTGTTGAATTGAAGAGCAAAGTGCTCCGCCCACCTACCCAAGCGCCTGTGTGGGTTGGTCTTTTTTGTCTCGTTTGGCTCAAAGCCTGTCGGTCTGATAGCTGGTGAATTGCAACCAGTGGTCTTGATGAGGCAAAATAAACTGCGGAAGTTGCCACTCGATGCAGCGGCTTTCATCTCTCCAGCGGGTTTTGAACACCAGAGTTCACAGTCAAAGCGAAGGATAACTTCCACCTCATCTACTACCTAGCCCAAATTCAGCTTTTGGCTGTGTAGAGAGCAAGGCCGCTGCTGGACATACCACCGGATAACATGGACAGTTGCAGATTGGATCAGTGGGGCTCAACGTCCAGAGCAGTGTCAGAGTAAGTACTTCAAGGAGCTTCTGATGATAAACCATGCCCACCGTGGGTTCCTGCAACTTAGGTATTCGGTCGGATTTGCTTTTGCCTGGATGAGCCACCGAAGTGCAAGCAAACAGCCGCACTCACCAATTAATGGCCGGTTTCAACGCTCGTTGACCAATATGACCGGTAATCTAATATGCGGCCATGCCAATTGCGACTGTGTGAGCAATTTGGGACCAGCTCTGTTGATGATGGAGGATGCCGGGTGGTGCAGTGGTGTCAAGAGTGATGAACGTTTGTGCTACAGTGAAAAGTTGGTGGTAGACACAGAGTAAGCAGTATCACTCCGCTGTCAAGCCGAGTACTATAACATCTATACAGTCCCCCGAGATGGGGTTCACATGAGAGTAAATGTCCGTCAGGTGAATTGAAGTCTTCCGTAATAACAATAATATTTGGTTCAGGCTCCATAAGGAGTCAGAGATAAATCCCATGAAACATACAAGTTGGCCCAACTCTCAAGCGCAAACGAAGTGTAGAGACCCATGAGCGTGCATTCACTAATTTATTATGTCCTGACGGTACACGGCTAAAATCAAAATGCAGGCACTAAAATGCTGTCGCGCAAACTGCGATTCAGAGCAACTTACTGCTTCGCTTGTTTACTAAGGAATAACTGGCTGCAATGAATCAGCCATGTCACAACGCCCTCACTGCGAAATCATAAATGCTATACTGACGATGACACTATCAATGTTTACGTTAGCTGCGCGAAAGAGCTTCCACTACATTTCTTGCTGTCCCAGCATTCTCTAACGAACACTTAAAGTTACCCGTTTGGTGAAAACAAGGAGGTTAGCTTCGTTGTCAGCGGACCTGCGATTTCTTCGGAATAACGCCGTATGATGTGGTTACCTCGCAGCGTTTTCAACTGGTTATCCTCCGAGGCACGTCAAGCTGACAAAAATCTCCAACAGCTTTCAAACGAGAGTCATCACTTCTGATGATAGCACGCGATGCAGCATCGATTAAGTGTCCCTTTATAAGGTACATCAAGCCTCTAGAGTTAAATTACATGCCCCAATACCAAAACATCAAAAAAGAGTAAATCTGCGATATGTGGTATGTTGATTACGGTAACAGACAGCCAAGTGAGGGCGAGTGTCTTCCATATTGGAAATATCGTCACCGGCCACGCCAGTGTTGGTATCACCCTGAGTCCCCGGCCTGAAGCTGCTATAGTTGACTGGATTCTAATCAGCAGCCGGGTGTGTGCGGTCCGATTGGTTGGTTCGTTCAAAGCTTCGTAGTCGCGCGGGACTAACAGGTGTCTATTCGTCATCGCTGCCTGTGCACTCACAAACTCTAGCGATGATTCGGTAAAAGACGACTTCTATCGACAATTGAACGAGCTCCTTCGTTACAGAAGGAGCTTGGACACTGTTGTGCTGGCTGGGGATATGAACGCTCGAATTTTAATATTATCCACTGAGGAACTGCATCTGGGCGGCCAACATGGTGTAGGCTCCATTAATTAGAACCGTGAGCGGTCACTTCGTTTGTGTGAAGATGCTGGCTTATATCTTGGACGCAAATCGATCACATAGTGATAAGTTACCGATGGAGAGACTGCGTGCAGAACTGTCGCTCGATATGCAGCACAGGTGAGGACACTGACCATGCATTTGTATGTGTTGACCTGCGGATGTGTTTTGGCGGGCGCGCAAGCAAACGTTATGAAGGCATTGACACCAGCCAACTGGCGAAACAAACTGTTCTGAATGCCTATCAAAATACGCTGTCATGCGAGTTGAGTAAGCACTCACTGAATGCAGTTGAAGCTTACTGGTCTCATGTTCACCAGTCATTACTAGCAGCAGGCAAATCCTCATTGTTTAAGTCTAATCGCCAACATAGACATTGGGTCTCTTGGTAGTCTGTGGAACTTATCGATGCTCGCCGGCCTA